ATCACACGTTAAGCTATTATATTGTAATATATCCTGTATTCTTGTGTGGTCGAAATGAATAATAAATGATGATGATGATGATGACTTGTTAATCTGTCTATATATAACAAAAGTATCAAAAGCTCCTCTTTGTAAAACATAAGTAATTCGGTAATCTTAAAGCACATTCGCTGCTTCATATGTTTATATATCAAACCGTAAGGACAGCCAATACCCATCATGAACGATACCAAAGCCAACGTAAGTTCTGCATTCAAATACTGCAGATACAATGAACCTGACAGCGAACTGGAGGTTGATATTAAACGCATTTCCTTGATACTTCTGATTACATTGGGACTTGCAGGAAACATCTTTGTCATAGTGCTCGCTATGAAATACACAGTACGCAAGAACCTGCATCATTTGATCATCAACATGGCCGTGTCAGATGCCCTCTACCTTCTTATAACGGTAATACTGGACATTGAATCGCGCAAAACATTGTTTTCAACATATCCAGATGGTATCCTGGGTAATATTCTCTGCAAGGCTTTTGCATTTTTTCGAGATGTTACATATAAAGTGTCCTTGCTTACCCTTTTGATAATCAGCATCGAACGATTCAGAGCAACGCAAAAAGCAGTAGTGCAGTGGCAAGGTACTAACATACAGCGCGTTTTAGTACTTGGAGTGTGCTGGCTTATTCCTATGGCTGTGGTTCTCTACATGTTTTATTATGTCCGACGAGGTCAAGACGGAATTTGTGTTTATCTTAGCAAAGACTTATTTCACCTTTTCAACTTGATATCGGTCCTTTCAGACGTTCTAATTGTGATAATGAGTGTGAAAACCAAGACATTCGTACATGGGGAAGTTGCAATGCTGCAGAACAATAGAGAGTTCCCTAGTTCTTTAAAAGCACATTGTTACTTAACATATAAACATCAGTTTCAGGTAAAAGTTTTTATATATAAACTTTCCGTTTTACACGAGGAATTGGTTATAAGTACACTGTACACACTGTATACTACAATGTTGGGTTGCTATTTTCATTTGATTTTTCATGCTTCAGTACCATGACATAATGAACAACGCCAACATTGACCGAGGGGGGGTGGGGTAGTCTGACGCTTGAAAAGTGCTAGTGACGATTTCTTGATTGGACCGTGGATAGACACTGTTCTCTTCTTGATAACATCATTAACATAGGGCTTGTACCGTCTTATGAAGATGAAATCATTTAGGCTAACGGTGGCAATGCGCGATGTATACAGCTATTTCAAAAAACGTTGTCGGGGAGAACGGTGAACGGCGATTGTCGAAGGGAGATTGCACGACCGAAAGGGACTATGGTTACACTGTTTTGATATACAGAATTTCACTTATTAGAACGATTTCACATAACAATACAAAAAATGCAAATAGGTTTATTTTATGCAAATTTATTAACTGTAAAATGAATTCACATGATGATGCAATACAGACTCTATTCTCTCACTTATTGCAGCTTTTTTGCTACTTTATATTATCATTAATTACATCACAACAAAACACGAACATTTCATTTTTCGAGCAGACTTGACACGCTTCAGTCTTTGTGCCAAACTTATGCTATAATTTCTATCGTAGCACATGTAGAACTGTACCATGCAGCATCTAGTACAAGCTTAGCTTCAAATATTTGGCAGGAGGGAGTAACCACCTAGGGTGTCTCTTGCGTGTGAACTACTTTTTTGAAAGCCGAGCAAAGGCTGGCCAACAAAAAGTCAAGTCCGTAATTATATTTGGACTCAATAAAAACTGTTTTGTTTTGCTCGTGATGAATAACAATAAAATCTAATTATAAGATAGGAAACAATGATAATAAGTGAGAAAATGAAGCGTGTATTGCATCATCACATGAGTTTATTTTACAGTCAATAAAATTTGCATAAGATAAACCTATTTGCATTTTTTGTACCGTTATGTGAAATCATTCGATGTTAACCACAGACCACCTTACATTACAAATCAATTGTTATTGCCTTTCAACTAGCAAAACCCATGGTTACTTTCGGTCGTGCAATCGCCGTTCGACCATTGACAATCGCCATTTTACCCGACAACCTTTTTTGAAATAGCTATATATAGTC